CTCTACATATGTCAACCAGGTGAGAGTTGTCCCTGACCCTTGTCAGTATGTGCTTTTAATATTGCCATCTTGCTATATGCATGTTAAAAGGACACCTCATCCATTAATTAGCTAAACTATTAAATAATTGCTTTAGACAAGAAAAAGAGCCGCCCATAATTTCTGTAGCTATAAAGATGCATGTTATGTAAGTTCTAAAATTGTTTTTAACTCAATGTGTTTTTAGTTCATGTTTAAAATTCATGTATAAAAAAAATAAATTTTATTTATTTTAAGTCTTGAATATTTTTTATATTCTAAGTCTTGAATATTTTTTATATTCTAAGTCTTGAATAATTTTTGTAAGTATAATTTTGATCTCGTGGAAGATTCAACATTCAAATGACGATAACGCTAACTTTTCATTAAGATTCATGAGATTTTCAAAGCCAAAGTACCAAAATAAATAAATAAAAAATCACATTCCTTGAATTCCAACCCTAACCCCTCCAACGTTACATGTACATAAACTGATTTAGCATGAAACGAAGAATATAACAATACAAAAATAATACAAGGCAAGAATTCAATCAACCAACCGTAAAGAATCAATTTAACTTAAAAACTTAAATAGTTGGGTGATGATCTTTTTAATGGTTTATATTATTTTTTAAATCACCCTCTCACGCAAGAGTCCTTTGAGTTTTAAGCGTGATATCACATCCCCAATTTTTTTTTACCTTGTGTTTATTTAATTCCACTAGAAAGTGAGAACAATGAGGATCGAATTCGTGATTGTGATCGCTGAAACTCTAATATTATGTAAAGAAACAATTTAATTAAGCTGTTGGGTTATGAGGACCTTTTTAATTATTTATATTATTATCTAACAAGGTCATGGTTTGAGTATATAGCCGTACCCCTCATCAATCTTCTCAAGATTCATAGTTAATAAGACATATAAACTACATGCCATGATTAGAAGTTTTTAAGACAAAGTAAAAGTTCATCCATCTCCCACTCTTTTCTGAAAGCGAAGTTTTTGGGATGGTAGTGTCTTCTTTTCTCCTTTCTTCTTCCTTTTTTCTTCTCTTGTTGTTCCTACCCTTGTTTTTGCTTTATAAAACTCTTCTCCCTTTCTCCGTTCACTCTTCCTCCTCATGTAAATTATTGTTATTATTTTTGTGTTTTACATTGGTGTGTTGTACCTAGTCTACTATTTCTTCTTCTTCTTCTTTTTCTTCCAGATTCTCAGCCACGCGCTCTCACGCACGTGAGACAGCGGCTGCAGCCCGTTTTCTTGCAGCGGCGCCTGCAGCTCCGACTTGCCGTCGGACCACCACGGTTCACCTCGTCTTCTCCTTGCGCACCTGGATCTGTCCTCACTTTGTGGTTTTGACTTCGTTACGGCTTCCCATAGCGTCTTTTCCCTTGTTGGTTACTATTCACGTGTGTTTCTTTGCTTTCCATTACTGCTCATCTTTGTTTCAGGTGCCCTATGGCTAATTCGTCACCACATGATGCATCCAAGGGTTCTCAAAAGAATGCCACGCCTGTTTTTACTAATTATGTTAATGTTCCGCTGCACGTCGACAAGTTGGATGGCTCCAATTATGTTTCTTGGGCTTCTGATCTCTGACTTTGGCTTGATGGACATGATTATGTTGACCATCTCATTACTAAGGCTGAGTCCATCTCGGTAGATGAATGCCCTCGATGGAAAAAGGTTGATGCTCAGTTATGTAGCATCATCAAGTCTATCATCCACCCGTCATTGAAGCAGATCTTCCGTGCTCACGTCACTTGTGAGTCTGTTTGGCGTCAGGCCAAGTCACTTTATACCAATGACACTCAGCGACTCTATGGTGTTTGTCAAAATTTGATAACTGTTATTGCTGCTCAACACTTTGATGTCTATATGTCTGCTTATTTGGGAAAAGTTCAGGGTCTTCTTCATGATTTCAATGAACTTTTGCCGCCTGCTGCAGACCCTGCTAAGGAACTTGAGCAACGCAGAACATTCTTCATGCTCATGACTCTTTATGACTTGCCCACGGAGTACTCTGTCAACCGGGATTAGATCTTGGGCTCTACTATTGTTCCATCCCTGGACTCTGTTTGGTCTACGTTGCTTTGAATTCCACCTAAGTCTGCTATGGAGCCTGCAGTATCTGCTCCCTCTTCAATTGACCCTTCTGCACTTGTTTCCAAGGGTTATGCACGTGGACAAAAACCCTCTAAGGGACGCCCTCTCTGCACTCATTGCAACAAGTCAGGCCATACTATTGATCGTTGCAGGGATCTTCACGGCCGCCCTCCTCGCTCCGCTAATTTTGCTCAGAGTCTTGCTCCTGCCTCAGACTCTGCTTTGATTGCTGGACCACAGCCACCTCCGTCTATTCTCACTGACTTCTTGCAATGGTGTGAAGAGAAGCGTCCTCCTGGTACCACTGCATCTGGTGCACACACAGGTAATTTCTTTGCTGGTTTTTCTCACTCGCCCTCTATTGGTCCATGGATTCTCGATTCTGGTGCATCTGACCATATTTCTGGTAATAAGTCTTTATTCACCTCTCTCTGTACGTCGGGTCCCCTGCCCAGTATCAGTATGGCTAATGGGTCACTGGTTCAGTCCCAAGGGATTGACATTGTTCTCTTTTTTCCTTCTATTCCCATTAACAATGTGCTTTATGTTCCTAATTCTCCTTTCAACCTTATTTTCATTAGTCGCTTGACTCAATCCATTGACTGTATTATTGCAGGATCGGAGCTCGAGGAGGACACATGGCGTCGGATCTGAGTCCAACGGCCTTTATCAGCTTTCGACTTCTGTCCCAGTGTGCTCTGTTGTGGATTCTCCGCTTACTATCCACGCTCAGTTGGGTCATCCGAGTCTTGCTAAGCTCCAGAAGATGGTCTCAAGTTTCTCAAATTTATCTAGTTTGTCTTGTGAGTCATGTCAGTTAGGGAAGCACACTCGTAGTTCGTTTCTCAATCATGTTAGTCGTCGGTCTTCGTCTTCTTTTGCTTTAGTTCATTCAGATATTTGGGTTCCTAGTCGTACCGTTTCCACTATGGGGTACATATATTTTGTAACTTTTATTGATGATTATTCTCGATGTACTTGGTTATTTTTAATGAAAAATCGGTTGAATTGGTTATTTACATGGTATCAGAGCCTCGTGTCCCGGGTTCGATCCTCGTCGCCCCCCACTTTCTTTCAAGTGGAATTTTTTGTTCGCACAGGTAGGTGGGCCTGTGCATTGTTCACCCTTTAAGCCCAGTAGGCTCTTGTGTGAGGGGGTGTGTTAGAGAATAATATAAACCATTAAAGAGGCCCTCGTCCAATAGCTTAAGCTTTTGGGTTGAATTGGTTCTTTACATGGTATCAGAGCCTCGTGTCCCGGGTTCGATCATTGCCGCCCCCCACATTTTTTCAAGTGGAATTTCTTTGTTCGCACAGGTAGGTGAGCCTGTGCATTGTCCACTCTTTAAGCCCAGTGGGCTCTCGTGCGAGGGGGCGTGTTGAGATATATAAAACCATTAATGTAGCCTGACCTAACAGCTTAAGCTTTTGGGTTGAATTGATTCTTTACACAAACCATTACCTTTCATGCTTATCTCTTAGTTTTTATTATCTTTTTTATTTTGTTAATAGGAATAAACCCAACCCTTATACTGAGTCCAATTTAATGGCCATGAATCCTCTTTGTCCTCTGATTTTCCTTTAAGGGTGTGTTTGGTACAAGAGAAATTTTTTGGTGACCGGAATCATGATTAATGGGAATTCAGTAGAAATTGAGTTTACTTGGAATCTTACGAAAGATGTGTTTGGTTCGCCAAAATATTATCGGGAATATTGGGTAAAAATTATTGATTCTATATTTGGTTTAGAACGAAATATGACTTGGAATATGAGGTTATTTTACAAAAATAACCCCAAACTATTTTTACTTTTGTAATTGATAGATTGGGTCTAGATTTTTATGTGTATTGGGGTATTTTTGTCTCAAAATTTATTGTTGTGTTTTCCCTTTACTTGGTATTCTGATTGGTATTCCGAATTACCATATTATTTTTGGTAATCTGAATAGTGACTTTTCTTTATAAATCAAATTACCCGTAATCCTTGGATATCCGGGAATCGTAATTTATTCCTTCTACCAAACGTGGTAATTTCATTTACCAAAGAAGGATTACCGGTAATCCTCTCCAAAAACTTGAACCAAACACCTCCTAAGAGTGGATCATTTCCTTAGTAATAACATTATCATGCATGTTTCTACCTGGCAAGAAGCTATCACTAAGAATGGGTTTTATTCTATTCACAATAGATTTAGGGTTTTCGTTTTATCCTTTAATATAATACAACAAACTTTCCTACACTCACAACATTTTGTGGGGCCCACACTTTTTAAAACAAAAAAAATAAATAAAAAATTAAGGCACACAAAACGAATCTCTATAACATTACAGAATCCTTTTTCCTACAACATAACTCTTATAAAACCCATAGATTTAATAAGATAATTGTGGGCAACATTACAAGGCAATGAATCTCTGCTGGTGAACTATGTTCTGTCAATTTTGGTAATTAGGACCAAGAAGAATTGGGTATACGACGAATCATCTCTGGATTTGACGTTTTCATTATAACTCCGCTACCACACTTTTCACCAGAATCCGGTATTTTTGGTAAGAAAAAACCAGGAAGCCCATCCTCCCTTGGGCTCATAAGAGGCCCATATGAAACATGGCTCAGTGATTTGAACGCCCAATCCCTGTACCAACATGGTACATGCAAGGGGATAGGAAATTTTCGAGATGCGGGAGTCTCACATACGAGTGTCCCTTTGATAATTCTATTTTATTTGCTGAAATCTTTGTCATTTATGAGACTGGTTAAAAATATATTATCCATTATGGTTCGTAAAGAATCAAGGTATGCATAAAATTATGAAATACAACATATTCAACATATTCTGTAATAGTTGAGACTATGTCAATGTCTGCTAATTAAATTACAGAACAGAGGGTGAAAACAAACAATGACAAGGAAAAGAAGAAAACATATGGTTACCATGTACAACCATTAGATACAAGAATCACCCGACATTCATGGCATCCTCTCCTTAACTACACAGACCTCCCAAAAACTCAATTCTGTGAAACCATGAAGGGGTCTGCATATTGGTGCTTTCCAAATGTGATTACCATGTGGCCTCATAAATCATGAAGTCTCCAATGGTTCCTGAACGATGCAAGCTCAATGACCCGTTTTTCCTTTTGATGAAAAGAATCTACTGAAACCTCGGGCATGTTTCTCTGGTGTAGGAGTGGAAGAGGCTGATGAAGAGGTTGACTTCGTAGGCCTGTGGTTTGGATGCTGTACAGGAGATATGGCTGGAAAGTTTGACTCATTATCTGATGGAATAAATAAAGTGTTAGAAAAATGCAAGGGGGACTCTGCACCCAATCTTTGCACAAAAGCAGAAGTAGCACTGTCCATCTCCGCCTGATCCAACTCTTCTTCAACCTTTGAAACCCTCTCGGTGTTTGGAGATCCCATTGGCTCTGTTTGAGGATGCAGGGCTTTTAACTGCTTGCCAAGAAGAAATATAGTTTCCTGACACTCAGCTAGCTTTTCAGCAGTAGCTGCCAAGTCTCTCTCCTATGATAAAAAAAAGAATTAAATCTTAGATTTTCAATCTATCACAAAGACTACAAGATTGAGATAGATATTTTAATTATGACTAGATCCTAAAAGTTTCCCAACTTAATAATTTTTTCATATATTTGGCAATGCGACATTAAATTCAGGATGGCTATCTATTTGAATGGAATTACAGTCTTACCTGCTTAGTCTTACGGTCATTATCAGCAGCTGAGCTCTCATATCTAACAGACAGAGTAACACAGAAATTAGAAATATTTCACATAAAAAAAAAAATTATAAAAAGAGGGAAAATGTTAATGTTAGCAAGAAAATTAAATCTATGCAACGCTGCTATTGATCCTACATTTTCTCACTTAGATCAACATAATCACAAATGCTGTGATCAACAGCCTGTAAGTAGGAATGCATCATGCAGAATATGCATAATTTCAGCACTTATAACCTATATGACATTCGGTTGGAGTCTAACCTTTGTAATTGTTCTTCTAGCTCCTTGAACTTGGCCAAAGCTGCTTCATGACCCCTCTTTTCATCTTTCAGTTCAATTTCCAGAGTTTCTGTCTTCATTAGCAGATGATTAAGCTCAGTTTCAAACTCCTGTGCACGTGTTTCAAGTGACCTGTATGACTCTGCCATGCATTTTAGTTGCGTCTCAGCCAAGCTGTTTGATCTTTGAGCAGAAGCCAATTGTGATTTAACTTCAGCTAGAAGTTGCTCAGTCTCTAGTAATTGAGACTTTGTCATTTCAAGATTTTCAGAACATTTTGACAGATCCACTACGGCCTTCTCTTTCTCTAATTTCAATTCTTCAAAGTCCTCCATTGAGAACTTTTGTGATGTGGAATTCGATTCAAAGCCTGAGGTCAAATTCCCATCATCAGGAACCTCTGGATCGGAACAGGGATTAAGAATATGGGCACGACCATTTTGATATCTCTCCCCAGACAAATTGTCTTGAATTAACTTATTTTCAGGCAAAGCAATCTTATCTATGCAATCAGGACTGTTAGTTTCAGCTTCGGTACCCTTGTAACCAAGGATATTAAATCTGAATTCACGTACTTTAGCTAAAACATAAGACAGGTTAAGAACAAACTGTAGCAAACTTGCTTTATTGCGTATGACTTCATTAAAGGTGACAGAGAACTCCTCCATCTTTTGGCTTATTCCATCTCCATCAGAAGATATATCATGAACTGACATTGCTTCTCTGCCTAGGAACAAAACAAAGTCATGAATTTGAGAAATTGCAGCTTCTAAATCTGAAGTTATCTGCACATATTCCGTAGGTTGCTGAGATGAAATGAGTTCTTTTTTAGCATTTAAGTCAGCAACATTAGGATCACTCTGCTTATCAAATGTAGTGTCAGAAAGCTCCACACTGTGAGGAATGACCGCTATAGAGTCCTGGATGGAAGGGTCATGTGCATCTTCAAGAACATGTTTAATATCCTTCACGATCTTCCCTATATCAGCATCCTTGGCCGTGGACTCAAAAACTGATAATATTCTCGATCGAAGCTCTTCTAATGACAAGCCATCACCATCAGACTCGGGATCAGGTGGTGACAATACCGCAGCAGAAGACCCTTGACTTGGCAATGGATTTGAATCAATCTTCTTTTCGGACTCGGAGGGATCATCTTTGCCAGTGCTGACTTCTGATACATCATTGGTCACAATTTCGGTCGTCTCATGGTTTGGAGCAACTGAAACAGAGGCATCTCCATTGGAATCATTCGATAATCGAGCCAACTTCTCCACCTCCAGAAAGTCATCCATTAGTTCCAACTTCTTAGTGGCTTCAGATTTGCTCATTTCCTCAGTATTTTTTTCTTTTGGGAGTTGGGATAGGTCAGAGATTATTACTGTAGACCAAGAATCAGCACAGCTTCCCACATCATCGTTTCCATCTTCAGACATGGAGACCAAGCTTGGTGCATGGCTTGCATTTCGACTGTAAATGCTTTCATGGTTTATATGGATGATGGATTTTGGAGATCCCTTCTGCTGATAATTTGACTGAACTTGGGCTTCCAAAATTTGAAGTTTGCTCAGTGTTTTAGCACACATACTCCTTGAAGCCTGCAATTCACTGTTACGTCTTGCCAAACCTTCTTTCAGCATCTTTGTTTCTTCTTCCATTGCCAATAAACGCTCTGTAAGAAATTCATTATCCTTCTGCAATTTCTGCACATTTTCTACGGAGAACTCAGGCAATGGGGACATATGAGAGCTAGCAGGTTTGACAGGAGACTTCCTTAATCGAGTTTCTCCGTAATCACGGCCAAGATTTTCAACTTCTAGCTTCATTTGAGCAAGTGCAGCAGGACCAGGTAACTTTTTCCGTACTAGACCACGTAATCTTTGGCACTCTGCCTCTAATTTAGCAATTTTTTTAACTCCCTCCATATGCTGCTTGTTAGCAGCTTCTGCAGACCTCATACTCATGTTCTTTTCTTCATTGCGAATCTCAAGCTCTTTGGAAATAACATGAAGCTCATATTTAAGTGAATTGATTTCTCTTTCACATGATTCTATGTTGCTCTTAAGAAGCTCAATTTCACCCTCAGCTTGAGCTTTTTCTTCGCTTAGTTTGATTAGCATGTTAGAGCGCTCCTGCAAGGTCCTTGACAGAGCTGCATTCTCAGCAGCGGACCTGAGGAGTTCCTGTTCAAAGTTAAATATCTTATCCTCAAGCTCACCCTTAATCCTGTCCAATTGCTTGGTTTTTGTGAGAGCAACTTCCTGTATTTTCTGTTCATGTTCTTCCTTCAGATTTCTTATCTGTCGCATACACTCTTTAAGAGCACCGTCTAACTGTGATGCATGGTCCTCAGCAGTGAGTTTTGAAAGAGTGACAGACTCTAGATGGTTCTTCAATGCCAAAGCTTCGGCTTCGGCCTTTTCCCAGCCTGCGGAGTTTCAATAAAACTTCAATTCCAAGAACAATAAGAAGTATTCTATATTAAAGGCAGTCTTTGAGCTTTGAAAGTAGGAACCATTATAGTAGCATACCTGAGACAGCCTCTTCAGCTACTTTAGCATGTTGTTTTACCAAGCTTTCCTTGGTATTTATCTCTGAGTTTGCTGCTGACAGTTTTTCATTTAATTCCTTGATCTCATCCTCTAGTGTCTGAACTTTTTCTTCATATGTCGTCACTTGATCCTCCAAACCAGTCAGATGTGAATATGACTCTACAGAGATTTGGACATAGTTCGGCTTCTTGTAAGTATCCTGTTTGTATAAGTGAGGGCAACAACACAGAAAATAGAAAAGAAGATAAATGAATGTAATCACAAAGTTGAATCAACAAAACCAAGACTAAGGGACCAGTACTAATCATGTAAAGTTCTCAATCCAATTATCCAAGTACAAATCCCACATATTCACATAAAGATGAGGACGAGAAGGAGAAGGAAAATCAAATTAATGCGCTAAGGATAAATTTGAATTAATAGAAGACAACAGAATACAAGCACAGAAAAATAAGAAACTTGTAGATGAAAATGCTAACAATAAAAACATTATTAGATGAGCTTCTTATCTCTTGGTAAAGCTTGCAAAGAACTAAAGATACGAATAACTGCTGAAACTTAAAACTTGTCATATGCATAAAAATTAAGCATAACTTAGTAACCAAATAAATGGAAGTGAAGAAGGTGAGAAAAGCACAAATATTTTAAACTAGTTTTTTTTTTCCGTGAAATGCCAATAAATATACCTGATTGCCCTGAGTGGAAGCAGCAGCAGAGTCCAATTCAGCAGCTACTCTCTCAAGCACAGCTTTGTCAGATGATTTTTTCTTCCATGGCCAGCGTCGGTCCATCGCAAACTACAGATACCCTGTAGAAAAAAACATATAATTTAACACTTAAAATTAAAAAGAGGCCTTTTTTTTTTCTTTTTCTTTTTTCCTTTTTCCTTTTTCTCCAGTTAGCACTGCAAAATTCTCATACACACTAATACACAACAGGTTATAATTAAAATTTGATAAGACAACAATCCATCGTTTCACAAAAGATTATTATGTTACAGTCACAGGCGTGGTTTCCATTTCCAACACTCCTCTCTCTAAGTGAATGACTATAAGCACTCCACTGCGTTGGTAAGTGTCGGTGGTGATAAGAAGCACAAAACACAAAAACGCAAATAGTGGCCATTTTCTGGGTCCCTGATTGACTCCTATTTCTTTTCCTGTGGCTAAAAAAGGAAAAAAACATAAGCCAATGTTACTAACAGCGATCTCCAAGATCTAACCATTGCACTTCCCCTATTCCATTTCCATGATATCACATAACCGTACACCAAATATAAGTATGAAAAATGTGCATTTTCTTCATAAAAAATTAAAATGAAGCAATTTTTTTTTAATAAAAAAAAGAGCCTCAGTAATGAATATTCAATACAAAGCGTGTTTGTGGCGCAAATTAGATCCAAATTAATTAAAGATGTTCCGAACAGGAGTAGAACTATCAAATTTTTCTTTTTAAAAAAGGAAGAAAAATAAATTCCGGTAACAGCGCCTGAAATTAATCTGAGAAAAAAAAAAACTGTATCAGCTTTTCGGGAATGAAAGGCCAAATTGGACACACTGTGATTTCGTTCTTTCTAATTCAGAACCTCAACAATTGGATTGGAAGCGAACCTCAACTCACCGACAAATTTTTATTTTTCTCTTAAAGAAAAACAGCTACAATGACGAATAATCGAAACAAAACGAAACGAACTCGAAGAGAAAATTGAGAAATAGAAATCTTATAGCAACAAGTGTCTTCGCATAGAACACAGTAGGAATGATCAGTAGAGATAAAATTTAAAAAAAAACAAACAAAACACGAGGAAGTTGATAACAGCATTCAACGATTGAGTAGAAGTCGGAGAAGAAAAACAGTGGAGAGTAAAATCGACTTACCGGTAATAATAAAAAAATAAAAAATAAAAAAGTGCAAGTGGTTGATGCTGCAAACAATGGACTGCTATGAGTTTTTGTTAGGATTTTCGCACTTTTTTGAGAATGAGAAGCAGAGAGAAAGTGGAGGTGGCAGTGATAGTGGTGGTGTGGTGGTGGTGGTGGTGGGTAAGCTAAAATATTCGGAATTAGGTGCTTCTTAAAAGGCAAGACGTTGTTGCAAACGCTCCAAAAAAAACACACCACCTTTTCACACGTATATATTTTCTGTCTTTTAACCCATATAATGCAAAAAGTAAAATTAAAATAAACATAAGTTTATTTATTTTTTTGGAGTTACTAATCTCATGTTACTTTGTTACTTTCCGATAGTATTTTTATGTGGATGAGATAAATATATGATATTCACAATTTAAAAAAAAAATTGGCACAAAATTCGATAAGTGTATAGCATAAGATAATTATCTTCAATGACATGAGACAAATATTTCCCTTATTTCTTTTAAGAGAAATGATATTGTTACTATCAATTAGTGTTATTAGCAATTAGTGTTATTGTTAATATTACTACCAGTTTATTTCAGCGTTAAATCGATTATGTTGATCCAACGATTATATTTATTTTCACATTTGTATGATTAAATATAGGGAATCATAACAATATAAAAGTGAAAATAAATATAAAGTATTAAATATAGAAAAAAAAGAGAAGAATTTTAGAAAGTTAAATCGATCTAACAGTGAAATAAACTGATAGTAACATTGATAATAATATTAATTAGTAGTAACAATATCCTATCTCTTTTTTAAACTATATACTTACTAGTGAAACTTATACGAGGATTATCTGCATTTAAATTAGTGCAACACAAGACACACTGGAAGTACGCGTTCAAGTCGTACATACATGCCATATGCCGATATGCGTCTTGCAAAGTATAACATGTAACAAATGAATAAATCTTTGGTACTACTGCTGTACTTAGATTCAATGTATCCCATGAATGAGAGCCTTACACAACAGATGAGAGAGAGAAAATTTGACAGAAAAAAAAAGTATTTTAGCTGACATGTAATATTTTTATTGGTGAAATACATTGAATCTTTGGTACAATAGTAGTACCAAAGATTTATTCGTCACAAATATATTGACTTTTGTACAAGTGGCATAATATGCGACTTGAACGTATATATTTCGTATGTGTGTATAATTTACATTAAATTAATAAATAATTTGTTAAAAAACTAAATTGATAATATATTTTATTTTTTGTGTTACAGACTTACAGGGATCAAAAATAGTGTTTTAAAACCTCACCGCCCCTCCCGGGTCAACCTCGACCCCTCCCCTCTGAGGGTTGGGGTCACAAGTTGGACCCTATATGCACATCGACCCCTCTGACTCCCAAAATCCGGCCGGGTTTTCGTGACTCCCGAGTCAGAAGGGTCATTGCATGTTTTTTTTTTTAAAAAAAAATCTATGAAACAACGTCATTTTATTAAAAAAATAAAAATAAAAATGCTTGCAAACCTAAATGGTATCTTGCTCAGCCTGAATTTGATGATGTTACTTTTTATTAACTTCATTAGAATATGAGTTTTGTACTTTGGTATCTTGATACTTTAATTAAGTTGTGTAATATTGACTTGTGGTTGTAATTGGTGAATTATGTTAAGTATATTTTGAATCTTTGATGATTAGTGATTTATTTTTTAATATTTTCATGTAGGATATATATTTATATTTTTTAATATATAAAACCGAGTTAGCGTAATAATCCCGTGATCTCCTGGTTGAATCCGTGACCCTATGACCCTTGATCTCTGCCGGGTTAATGGCCGGACTTTAAATACCGATCAAAAAGTCTATTTTCTCCTCTTCAAATTCAATAAATAATAAATATTAAATAATATATTTAATGAGAATTTGGTTTTGTTGATTGGCGCAATTAACCTTGTGAATGCATGAAATAGCGAGAGAGTCACGACGGTGGAAGCTTGAGGCAGAAGCACGCATGTACGTATTATGTATGATATCTAATTCTGAGCTGTATCCGATAACGGGAAAGGAAAAAGCCATTATTTTTCTTTCACTTTAGACAGATAATAATAATGGTTTTAAAGGAAGTAGATTTTATTAGAATTAATTATGTTTGCAAATTGAGACAAGCGTGATTACGAAGACTTTGGACCACCATCACTCGCTGGCATTCCATATATCTCCACACAGCTCATGAATTTGGTATCTAGCTCGCTTGGATGACTTATGAGTCGGCTACTTGACATGACATCAACGTGGACTCTCGTCACATAGGATTAACTGAAAACCCTTACAAGACATTTGGTAGAGGAAAAAAAAAATTAAACTAGGCAAATTTGATTAGTGGAGAAATGGAGAGAAAATGATTTTGATAAGAAAATTTAAAAAAAGTTGTTTGGTAGGATGAAATATTACTGAGAAAATTGAATTAAATTTGTTGAGTCTATGTTTGATAGAGGTAAAATATTAATGGGATAATTGGTTAAAATAACGAAACTAACCTTTTTAACTTTTGAATAGAGGTAGAAGAGCTTGAGGTCATTTCCGTCTACTGGTTCATGCTATTTTTTGGTTGCATGGGTAAACAAAAAAATACCACATTAGATATGGGTTTCTGAAACAGTGGAAAACAAAATTTTTTGCAAAGAAAACACATAGGCTAGGCAAACCATTTCCCTAGTTAAATTTTGTTAACTCCTCTACAAAATGTGGGCAAGTTCAAAATCCAAAATAGGTTGCCTAGTTATCTCTATAAAAAACCTCTACCAAACACACTCTAACTTACTTGACAAATTGAATTTCTTGTGTAATAACTTTTATTTATTATAATTATTATGATTGGTCTAGTGGTAAGGGACATGGTAGTTAAAATCTCGATTTATCGTTATGATTTTAAGATTTTTTTTATCAAAATAATTTTATTAATATTCTAAACGCTTTTATGTTTTTACGATTTTTTTACATTATAATTTTATGTTTTACGATTTTTTATCATGTTTTCAATTTTTTACGTAAAATTTCAATTTTAAATACCTTGGTAAGAGATTTAAGCAGTTTGTATTAGGTTATGTGTTCAATTCTCTCAAAAAAAAAAAAAAAAACTTTTATTTATCATGTAGTGATATATAACCTACTAAGTTACAATAGTAATGGGTTAGGGGTTTGACCCAAACGAGGGTATATATGTGGGTTAGTAATGGTAACCGTTGACACAATAAGAGTAATTTATATTTAGGTCGATATGTTTTTAAATTTGTGTCTATTTATGTTGGTCAAAATTGATACAAAAAAGTTAATATTGAGTCGTGTCTCGTGTTAACTCATAAAGACGACATTGTCCTACATTAATCATCTTCCAAGTTGTTCGAGCCATGTTATATCAACCAATAAATAAATAAGACATTTTAATATTGACGAATTATTCGTGTTGTGTCATGGCAACTCATAATAAGTAACACACTTTGAGATTAGTAGGTTATTGATGTTGTGTTGTGTCGACTCGCAAAATAAATAAATTGTATTTGTGTCAAAACAATTTAACATGAATCTTTAATCATGTCATGTTCATATCAGATATCGATTCGACATAAACACGACATATTGAACACGCAGAGCAATTAGAGACGAAAGGAACATTAATAAATCTGTGTCAAAATAGCATAGCGGAGACTATATTATATATAAAACTATTGTGTATTAGGGGTGTTTATTAACCGATCCAAATTAATTCAAATCGCAATGACCGAACCGAAAAACAGAAAACCGAAAAACTAAAAACAAAAAAAAATTGCATATTTTAATTGGATTGCATCGATTTTGGGTTTGGTTGGTGAAAATCAATATAATCCAATGTATTATGTATTTATTATTTTTGAGAGATGGTGACTTGGAATCTTATTTTTTTTAGACTTGGAATCTTGGATGTTATTGATAACAAACTACCTTTTTTAGTTTTTTATTGTCTATTATTCTATTTTAACTCTTCATGCGTTTTAAGACTTGTTTGAGTTTGAAGACTTGAAATTTCCAATGGTTTATAACTTTGTATGACTTCATTTTGATATAGCCAGTCATTTATATGGCTAAAATTTTAGGCTTTTCAATAAACCAAAAATTGATCCAATCCAAACCAAATAAAATTGGATTGGATTGGATCAGATCGGATTTGAAAAAAAAGTCCAAACCTAATGGATGTTTAAATGATCAAACCGAAGAGATTTGATCAAATATTTTTGCTTCAAAATCGATCCAATCCAGACCGTGAACACCCCTATTGTTTATATACAACCTGGAATACATTATGTGAGATTAAGTCCCTTATACTACTTCTACTATATACAACACTCCCCCTCAAGCTGGAGCGTATAAATCATAAGCACCAAGCTTGTTACATATATACTCTATTTTAGGACCCCTTAAAGTCTTAGTAAATACATATGCTAATTGATCATTAGAGGATACAAAACTGGTAATAATTTCACTATAAATGATCTTTTCTCGAACAAAGTGACAATTTATCTCAATATGCTTGGTTCTTTCATGAAACACTGGATTGGAAGAAATATGTAGTGTTCCTTAATTATCACAAATGAGAGTTGTTGGTCTGGTGTCTCCAAACTTGAGGTATCAAAGAAGTTATTTTAGCCAAATGAGCTAGCAAGTAGTAGTAGTCATGGAGCGATAATATGCTTTAGCACTTGATCTAGTAACTACATTATGTTTTTTACTTTTCTAGGAACCCTAGTTGCCTCCAACGAAGACATAATATCCAGTAAGATCTCCTGTCAATAGGAAAACATGCCCAATTAGCATAAGAGTATTCGACAACTTTAACATGACCTTTATCTAAATATATAAAGCCTTTTCTTGGAGATGCCTTGATATACTTAAGAATACAAACAACGGCATTTCAGTGTTCTTGACAACGAGAATTAAGAAAATGACTTATGTAACATCCCGAGCGCTGACGAGGGCGGTGAGGGATCGCTGGTGCAAAGAGGCACGGACAAGGAGCAGCTCCTGACAGGCTTCCAGCGGGGGGTTACATGCATGAATGAATCGAATCGACACCCGAAAGAGAGGGATTCCAAAGGCTGTGCAGGTATAAGACTGCACAGTTTGGGATAGCTTATAAGA